AATTAATACTGATATCTATGTACAATTCGATATTTTAAATTTTCCGTACTAGCTTCATTTGTCGAACACAAACAATATCGTTTTTATTCTTGTACGGCTCGTATTATTCGTGAATATTTCATGGTTACGAGATAAAGGAGAACAATAAGTACGAAATTAACATGAGTTATCTATTTTTAATAGGCTGGTCATTTATAAATTAGAAAGAAACAAAAAAAAAAACAAAAAAAAAAAAAAAAAAACTGATATTCTACATAATCGTACAGTTACGGATGCTGATCAAATGTTAGAATATCTTTAAAATTCTCTTATAATAACACTGAGCTAACAATTTTTCATAAAAAGTAACTTATTACATTAAATTTGTGCCTTTAGACCTCATTAAAATAATAAAACTCTTTCTATTTTTTTTTTTTTTTATTTCTTTTTTATCTTTTCATAACTACTTAAAATTGTAATAAAAACATTTCGCGCTTTTCAGCAATACTGTTTGGACTTTCTTGGATTTCTCAAATCCTCGTTAGTTTAAAAGCTCCGCAGGACAACGGCACCGGTGAATCGCCTGTTTTTATTCGTCACCGTAGGTTAAATATTGCATATTAAGATCATCGGAGCGGACTAAGGTTGTCACTCGTGTCGTGTGCGGTTCAAACTAATTCCATCCAAGCCAAAAGCCGGAGATAAAGTTGTGTCGATACTCTGTCTGCCTGTCTCTCGCTCTTTCACTCACTCACTCACTCACTCACTCGCATGCGCACGCACGCACGCACACACGCACGCACAAACACACACACACACACACACACACACACTCTCTCTCTCCCCCTCTCTCAAGGGCAATAGGATCGTTCAATTCGTGTTAAGTTACAGTGATTTCCATGAACTTTATATCCGTAACGAAGCTCGAGCTAGGCGCATCAAGTAGCCGTGGTTCAATAATTTTTCACGTTACTTTCTAGCGTTAAATCGTACGTTATTTGCGTTTAAGGGACAAACAAATGAGCTTCTGAAATTCGGTGATAAAATCATGGATTTACTTATCTGGGCACTTAATGAACACTCGACGGTTATCGGTTCACCTGCCCTTTCATTGACAATTTGTCTATGCGCTTACGACGAAACCGCAGAAATGTATTCGTCTCACTTTATCCATGCAATTTAATCCTGGCGTGTACCTCTCTTATCATTAGAAGCTCCATCGCGTGTTTGTCTGGCTAATTTAAAACTCCGGTGAACAATAATCGTAGTCAATGTTCGCGCAGTTGAAGAAAAGAAAAAGTTTTGTTTGGCCGGTCGCTCGCTCATGTTACGACGTTGCTAATCGCCGGGAGTAGAAAAATTTCTTCCGATAATCGCAATTATTATTTATTTTTTTTTTTATATATACAGTTATTGGCTTAGACACAATTTTTTTATATATTCCAATTGTTGTTGTTGTTGTCGTTGTAGTCGTCGTCGTCGTCGTTGTTATTGTTATTGTTATTGCTATCGTTATTATTATTATTATTATTACTATTAATTAATTAATTAATTAATTATTATTGTTTATTATTTATTATTTATTATTTATTATTATCATCATCATCATAATACTAATGATATCTCTCGCTCTTACGTAATTGCGTTAAACATTACTTTAGAATAATTGACATTAAAACTACGTTTCATTCAATGTGACGATGAATGTACAATAATATTTACAATATCTTTGCTTTCGTTGTTAAAACGCTGTCATTGTTATTATAGCATTTTCAAATAAATAGCTCGACCTTTGCATCGAAGGAAGCGCGTGCCATCATCATCTATGCCCTTGATCATTAGGGGCACGATAGCGGTGATAGGGTAAGCATGCGAGGGAGTGAGGATGTTCTCCTTTGTCTCCAGTTTGGCTTTTACTAAACCAATAGGCGCGCCTCTTTGTAAATTCACGTAAAGTCGCAAGTTCCATGGCCATATAATGCAAGACATAGATATACAGTTATACACACGCACACGTTTATGTACGCGAGATTAAAGCCCAGGTCGTCGTCGTCTTTCCAACTGGCAACGCTTTCGTTACGTACAACAGCCAAAATTATCAACAATGAAAGAAGGAGTTAATAAAGAACATGGAGCAAGCGTAAGGAATACATCATTTATACATTCATCGAGGATCTCCGATGGAGAAGAGAGACAATTATTGGACGAACAATGACTTTTAAATGACGCGTTAGGTTAGGGAGCAATGATTTCGTTGCAAGTTGGAAAACGTACGTTACCTGGCATTTAATCAACATAATACAAAATAGAAAAGTGCTTACGGACATTTTGTTAGCTTACTATTAACAAAGTGTGAGTCGAACGAATTATAAATTATAAATTGATACAAATGAAGAATTATACATGGAAATAAAAGAGCTCGATTACAAATATCCGAGATATAATTGGGCAGTACTAAAGTCTCGCTGAAGTTTCTACATTAAAATTTAGCTAATGAAAAAAGCTTTATTATCGCGTGAATAATGTACACGCGTGTAGTTTGGCACGGTAATTATCATAAATGAAGAGCTCGAATAAAAAAGGATATAGATAGGTCGGTTGAAAACCCAACCGTCACGAAAGCCAAAGGTGTGAATTTCAACCGATGACTTATCAAAACCACCCATCTCTCCTCCAATTTTATCCTTTATTATAAAAACTTTAATAACAGATTTAGCATTCCTGGGTAGATAAAGAAGCGGTTCTGCAATCCATGACAATATATAGATTGGAAGGGCAGACATTTGTCGACAATATTAATAGCCCGAGGAATAAATTGTGTACTCGATATATAGATATGACGTCATGGTAGAATTTAATTTTAATTCGAAAATTAAAGGAGGTTAGAATTGTATGGGACGCATGGGCCATTAACGTTAAAAGTTACCAAAGTGGCAACTATTGTTCATCATGCCCCTTAAAAGTATTAGTGCGTTATAAAATTTGATGGACAAGAGGGAGGGGAGAAAGGGTTACACCGCCGATGTGCGTCTCGTAAATTTACTCCTTCAAACAAACAAAAAAAACCATAAGATGAAAAGACGTTGTAATGATTTTGATTGTAATTGATAATCGCACAAGCTAGCTCCGACTTTATCCAAGGACGGACTCGCAGAAATAATCGAAAATTAAACGCGCGCGGGTGCTCGGTATGATAATGCAAAAAGACAGTAATTTGTTTTAAAATTCGATATATTTTTCATGATTTGAAAAGTATTGGAAATGCAGTATTGCTTGGTATTAAGAACTCGTTTCAATTCGCAACGTCAGTTCACCGAATAAACATTAATGATACCGATTTGAAGGTTTTAAAATTGTAGGAAAAAAAAAACTATACAATAATGAAGTTATACGAGCTTTCAATAAAATAAAAAACAAAAACAAAAAACGTGAAACATTAAGCTTTCTGAGCTTTAGAAGTATTTTTAATGGATCACTATCGCCATAAAAATATATCTACATTAATATCTTTGTTTTTTAATTGCAAATCAAATTAATTTGAACGCCGGAAGAATTTCCAACATTCGTGACCATCCTCCTCCCTACTCACACATCTTCATGAAAGAATGCCAAATCTGTTATGTTAAAAGTATGTAAAATCCAGGCTGCATTGCCAACGTGATGCCAGTAATACTTTACGAAAACATTTATTAGAGGCGATTATTGAAAATACGTTGGTAGTTTGCTTCTGCCATATTCTAATAATCATGTATGTTATAGTTAGAGAGAGAATTTAAAAAAAAAAAAAAAAGAAAAAAAAAGATGATTCGTAATTGAACGATATTTCATAAATAAAATAGAAAAAATTATTATAATTACGCTTACACTCCGATTTAACGTCATACAATAAACAATTTTGTCTAAATTTTCTATTTTTATGCAAATTCGTAAATGAAAAATTGTATTGTTACTACAGTGAAAATTCAATAAAGAAATTAGCCGCACAATAAAATTCGGCTTTTAATTATTTATACATTTTGTTCATTAAAAACGAGAAAAAAAAAAAAGAAAAAAAAAACCAAAAGCTACGATTAAATTCTTCGAGTATGTAAGTTAAAGTATAATATTTAATAATCATGAACGTAAAGTATTGATAATTACTGAATATTCATAACACTTTAGAGAATTTATTACAATAATGAATTGCAAAAGAAATAAAAACTTAATATATATTTATGTTTTTATTACGATAATATTTATGGATCAATCACAAAAAATCGCAAAATTTTAGTACTGTCGAATTATTCACATATAAAGCAAGAATTATCAAATTTTGTGTATAACAATGTTCGCAAATCGTTAAAAGCAAATAAAAACGATAGATCTCGACTGCACGCAGGTACTTTGGTAATGTGTGTAGTGTATCTTTGTCTCTGTGTGTGTGTGTCAATCTATCTGTTAGCATCCCATCTCTCACTCGCTCTCTCTCTCTCTCTCTCTCTCTCTCTCTCTCTCACGCGCGCGTTATGCCGTTGTCTCTTCTTCTCGATCGTTGCTCAAAGATGAAAAGCAGCTGGGCATCTTCGAAATAGAAGAAGAGGAAGTAGCAGTAGAGGAAAGAGCAGGACGCTAAGAGCGTATACATATTGAAAAGACGACGACAACGACGACAACGACGACAACGACGACAACGACGACAACGACGACAACGACGACAACGACGACAACGACGACAACGACGACAACGACGACAACGACGACAACGACGACAACGACGACAACGACGACAACGACGACAACGACGACAACGACGACAACGACGACAACGACGACAACGACGACAACGACGACAACGACGACAACGACGACAACGACGACAACGACGACGACGATAACGACGACGATAACGACGACGATAACGACGACGATAACGACGATGACGACGATGATAACGACGATGACGACGATGACGACGATGACGACGATGACGACGATGACGACGACGACTACGACTACGACGACGACGACGACGACGACGACGACGACGACGACAACGACGACGACGAAGACCAAGACGTTAGAGAGGGCTTCCAATGGCAAAGGCTCTTTCTTTCTCCTCATCATCACTTCCTGTACGCGAGCCCAGCACCAGTCCGGTAGAGCCACTCACCTGCGCCGTTGTTACGCCCTGCCGCCACTAGCTTCTTCACCTCCTCGTCGTCCCGCTGCTGAAGTCGCGACTCCTTCATCCCGTCGCTCTCAGCCATTATCATTTTCGTATTCATCGTCGTCATCGCAGTGATATCCTGCTGCCTCGACGAAGCGTCGACGACGCTCCCGCAGCCGATAACTGCTGCTAACGGCACTGTTACGGCTGGCAACCCTCGCCCCGGGCACCCATCTGCCAGTGACATCGAGGTTCGCTGCTGTTCCTGGAGCAAGCAAGCGCTCGACAATAGGTCCCACTGGCGGAGCTTCTCGCGGTCGAGCTCGAAGCTGTTGGCCGCGTTGGTCTGTGCCGTCGGCTGCTGCTCGCGAGCCGGGGCAGGGTTGCCTTCCTCTAAAAAATGCCGGCTGCCTTCACGCTGGGCGGGGCCGTCGCCACGGTGACCGAGATCCGCTTTCCTATAAGCCTCGTTATCCGGGTCCCAAATGTAGCCGCCCGCACCTATCCTATCCATCGCTAATCTCTCGTAGGCGTCGTCCTCCTCGTGCTCGTCACGCTCCTGGGCTCCGCTCGCGGTGGTCTTCCCCCCTTCCTCCGACCGCCTCATTATCCGAGATCTCTCCAAAGAGTTGGCCACGCTGTCGTTTACGTACGTCACACCACGGGTTATCTTGGTCCGCGTTCTGCTCGTCTCCGGCATCGCGACGGCTCGGGCGGTCGTGGTCGCGGTCGCGGTCGCAGTCGCAGTCGTCGGATTGTCGAGGTTGTCCAGCGATCTCGCGTGACGTAAACTCACTCGCCTGAGGCTCTCGCGCCACAAACTGTCCTGCTCCCATGGATCCTCACCCTCGAAGCTCTCGTTGGCCTCGCTCGGTGCGCCCATGACAGTCCCGTTGCCGCGATTGACGTTGGTCGGGCGTTCCGCGATCACGTGCCCCGGCCGCGGCAGCTGAGCCGTCGCGGCCATGGGCTCGCCGTTTTCCCGGCTCCTCTGCTGCTCGACGAGACTCTGGAGGCCGGCGTCGTCGAGCAGACCCTCGAGGGACCTCGATCGCCTGTGCGACGCCTGCGCGGCACTCGGGAACTCATTGCCGCACGCGTTATCCGCGTTCAATTGCGTCTGGCTGCCCGACTTATCCCTCAGGCCGTGCGGATAGAGGTTCCTCGTGTTAAGATCGGAGGGCGAGAGGTGATCGGGCAGCGGGTCCGTCGACTTCACTCTCCTCAATGTGTCCGCTTCGTAGAAGTTTCTGCGATCGACGAGGCCGGCCTTGTCCTCGGCCAGCAGCTGGCACGTCGTTTTCCTTAGCTCGGCCGCTATCATTCGCGCCTCCTGGATGTCGTCGACCTGGATTTGCCGTGGCACCTGGCGCCCAATTGGATTGACCATGCGGCCGATGTCGTTGCGCTTACCGAGAGCGGACGCGTCGCCTCGCTGATTATTCAGCTGGGGGAGTCTCGAAGTGTGGGCTATCGCGCAGGGCCTCGGCTGCTGATGGACGTCTAGTCGCGGATGATGGGTCTCCGAAGTCGGGCAGCCGGCTTGGAGGTCCGAGTAGTAATAGGGTGCGCCACTCTGGTCGGCATGATTGTGAAGACTGCCCGCTGAGCCGCGCACTGCCGTGGAGGTGGAGGGGGGATATTGGCTGGAGTCTTGGCTCGAGGAGGATCGACGATGATTATTCGGCGACAGGGAGTAGCGAGCCGCCGAGTCCTGGCTCGCCGATCTCGCGTGATACGGCTGCTGGACCTGTTGTTGGGCCTGTTGTTGGGCCTGCTGTTGGGCACGCTGCTCGACGTAGACGCCGCTCGACTGGTGGCTCGTTATGGGTGACTGGGCGCTCGCCGGCCTCTGAGTCGCGTAATTAACGGCAGCGGCCGGAGACGTTGACGAGAGATAGGTAGAGTAGCTCGAGTCCCGGCTGTGGGACGTCTGGGACGTGGTCGTCCTGCTCGGCCTGTAGCCATAATCATCTCGCGTATGATGCTGAATCGCCAGGTCGCTCTCGGGACTCATGGCTGGCATTGCCGGCGAGTGACCAAGCGGCGAGAACTTGGCGATGTTCTCGTAGTGCGCGTCGCCGGTAAACGACTGGGAGTGCTGGTGGCAGGCAGTTGGCGGTACCTCGCTCACCCTCATCGACGGCAGACTACTGGCCGAGCTCGTCTTGCTCCTGCTGCCGTAGAGGAACGGCTGGTCAAGGCCGTTGGTCGACTCGGCCGCCGCGACCAACGACGATTTCCCAATGTCCGGATACGTGGATTTGTGCAGCTTGTCCGCGACGAGCATGTTCTCGTTGAGGCCGTAGATGCTGTTGTAGCTGAGGTCCTTGGCGTAAAGGTCGACATTGAAGGCGTCCCGGGCCTGCAGCTCCTCGAGGTACTGATCGAGGTCGATGCTCGTGCCGTCGAAGCGGCTGCCCAATGACTCGAGCTCGTCCAAACTGTCGAGGACCTCGCACATGTCGTCGCTTACGGGGCGCCTCTTCAGTCGCCGATGTCGCGCCTCCTCCTCGGAATTGCGCAGCTCCACGGAGTCGCTGCCCGAGGCACTCTCGAGCGAGATACGGCTGTCGCGGAACGTCGAGCTCAATGTCAAGCTCGCGTCGGATGAGAAGCGGGAGGGCGAGTTGCGCCTCTCCGTTTGGACAACAGCGGACTTGCTCCAGGACCTTGGGGAGTCGCGCTGGCTCGTGTAATCGCGCGTAACGACAACGACTTGGGGACAGGTCTTCTTGATCTCGAGGGAGTCGTGCATCTCGAGGGAGTCGAGCTCGTCCATGGGCGGTGGTGAGGTCGGGATGGGCGGTGGCGAGACGAGCTCGCTGTCCGAGGAGTCGTGAAGCTCGGCGATGAGGGTCTGGCTGGCGCCGAGGTAGTAAGAGGCGGGCCTGAAGGTATCCGAGAGGCTGAAACGCGGGTGCCTCGGTGCGTCGATCGAGTCCAAATCTTTCGAGGACTCGTCGTCGGCGTCCGAGCTATCGGTTTTAAGGGCCGTGAGGATGTCGGGCAAGTCGCCCCTTGAATTCTTGGCGTCGCCGATCGAGTCGCATTGCTTGGACGTCACGCCCGCCACCGCAGACGCTGCCGACGCGGCCACCGCCGCCGCCGCCGTCGCCACCACTGCCACCGCCGAGTGCTTCAATACGGACGAGCCACCCTCGTCCTTCTCGGCCAATTGACTGACCTCCATGTAAACCGGCTCGATTTTATTATTCGCCACGCAAACGAACTCGTAATGCGGATTATTGTCAAGTGTCGAGTAATCACTGTAATCCTGGTGCTTCCTGGGGCCGCGGTCGGGGGCGAGAAGCGAGCGAGTCGTCCCGTTCTGCGACATCTCCACGTACGAGCTCTCCTCACGCAAATTCGCAAACAGGCTCTCCATCATTTTTGGCATGGGGCGCTCGTCGCTGCTCGGGTCGAGGATCGCCTTTCGCGGCGTCATCGGCAAGTAGTGCTCCTCGAGATTCGAATCCTCGGCCGGCTTCGGGATCGGACTCGCGTTGTCGCTCTCGCCCGACAGACGATCGCCGTGCGTCACCAGAGACTCGGTTACGCTCAGCCTCGTGTACGCGGGATTTACAGTCTCGTCGGCGCTCATCTCGCGATGACGAGAGCGAACGGCTGCTGCATCTCTCCCGAGCTTGTTGTCGCGCTCGTTGCTCTTACGCATCGCATGCCCGGACTTCTCCTCCAGCTGCCGTTTATACTTTGGTACGATTTGCTCTGCCTCCTCCTGCTCCTGCTCCTGCTCCTCATTCTCATCGTCGTCATCGTCATCGTCATCGTCCTCCCCATACCCATTCCCGTCATCCACGTCACCACCCCCATTCCCATCCCCGTCCCCATCCCCATCCTCATTAACACCCTCGATCCCATCATCGTTCCCATCATCGTCCTCGTTATCGTCACCGTTGCCATCCTCTTCGTCGTCGCAGCTCTTGCCCTGCTGATCGAGATCGCTGCCCGTGTCGTAAAGCAGAGTCTCCGTGTCGCTAAAGACGCCGCGATGCTTCGTCTCCCTGAGCTGTTTCTCGTGCTCCTGCTGGCGCACCTGCTGAGACTTTCGCTCAAAGTCCGCGAGCAAGTCTTTGACGGATTTGTTTCGGTCGCTCGACAGCCGTCCCTCGGCCTCGGTGTCGCAGCTCGCCTTGACCTTGGCCTCGCCCAGGGCGAACTCGCGAATCACCACCGCCGCTGCCGGCTTCCTCGGGGAGTCGAGGATGCGCGACACGTGTGCCTCGGCCGCTGCCTGGACCGGAGACATTTTCAATGGTTCCTGCATTAGCGACGGCTCCTTCTCCGGACTCGCGCTCTGCTGGTCCATGCTCGACTCGAACGATCGGATTCTGCTCTGAACGAGATTGCCCGAGTCCGTCGGTACTAGCAGCTCCCTCGGCTTCTCATCCCCCTCCTCTTGTCTTATGTACTGATAAGAGAACTCCTTAATGACTTTGCTCTCGTCGATTTTTGAATCCCAGTCGTCTTTATCCTCGTCCCTCGACGATGTCCATTGCACGTTCTTCGGGGCCGGCCAGGACTCGCCGGCCACGTGGCCGGTCAAGGTGCTCAGCCGGCCGGCCTCGTTGCGCGCGCTCGGGTGATTCGTAGCGTACACCCCGGGACACTTAAGAATGCCCGACGGCCTCCTTGGGGGCGCGGGCGGCTGCCGCGTCGGCTGCGACCGATGCGCTCTCGCGTCTTTCACGGCCGTGGCTGGCTCTACGAGCTTAGGCGGCGACGGCCGCTGCTGAGGACTAACGGTCGCGGATGACATCGCGGGGAAGCTCATCTCCTCGTACCCGGTGTCGAGCGAGCCCGAGTTCGCGAAATCGCTTATCGAGGAAGGTGGACGAGCCGAAGGGGACGAGCGGACCGCTGCTAGCGCCTGGTGTTGCCTCACGGCGGTCCCCTGACTGTAAATCGGTACGGGCGACTGCAGTGGTGTCTGCTCCTTCTCGAAACTCCGAGGACTTCTGCCCGTGTGCGAGGGTCTGCGCGTACGTTTCCGCCGGACATCGTTCAGCTCTGGATTTTTTAATTTGTCAAACAAAGACATGTTTCGATTACACTTTAGTACTTAATTTAATGTTTGCATTATGGGATTCGGAAGGTGAGGAGGACGAACGAGACCTTGAAGATATGCTGCGAGGCACGAGATGCGTTGCTAAGGATAGGAGGTGTCGATCGAATCTAACTAGCGATCATGCTTTAATATTTAAATTTGCCGGGCTGTCTAGAATTTGTCCAGTGCTTTAATAAAGAAATTTGTTTAAGAATTGCGTGCTGGTTGTGTGTATGGTAGGACAGCAAGGAACAAGAGCTTAACGAATTACCGAACTTTCGTGGGAAAGTCGCGCAAAATTGTAAATAGGCTAAAAATGAAATACGATCGGTGCGATATTCTGATGCGAGAGTTAAAAATGAAAAATAAAAGTGAAAAAAAAAAAAATAATAAATATAATAATAATATAAATAATTAAATAGATAGATAATAAATGAATGGAAACTAAGACAAAAAGTAAAATAGTTTGACAATTTCAACTTCAAGGTCTTGTTGCGAGTAAACTTGTTTATTATTCGGATGAAAAGGATACGAATGAAAACGAATTCTTCTTAATTCCAGGATTGGATGGGTAGGAAGGTCCGGATGTCACGTTAGATATAAGAAAAACAAAGAACGAGAACGAAAAGGAGGATGAGATGGAAGGGGAGGAAGAGCGAGGATGAAAGAATATATACGTAGCATAGTGAAATTATCTATATACATTATGCGTGTGTGCGTACGTGTAAAAAGCAAATGAGAATAATTAAACGATAATTTTAATAATACAATTGAATAATAATAATAGCAATAGTAATGGCAATAGTAATAGTAATAATAGCGACAACAGCAACAGCAATAGCAAAAACAACAACAACAACAACAACAACAACAAAAACAACAACAACAACAATAATAATAATAATAATAATAATAATAATAACAATAGCAACAACAATAGAAAAAACAACAGTAACAATCATAACATAATTATAATGAGGAGAAGAAAAAAATGCAACGACAGAGATTTTAAATAACGATTATATAAGAGAAATTTGTGACACAAATCTTGTCTTCCGACATGCATCGTGCAAAGTAAAAACAATTTTTTCTCTTTATTTCTCTTTTTGTTTCTTTCATTCTTTTAAGCAAATAAAAGCACGTAACTTACGTATGGTATTCAACGAAAAATTTTACAAGTCAGTAGAATCACTTGTTTATGGCATCGAATTGTAGTCGTTTTTCAACAATATTGTTGTTCATAAAATTCATAAAAATAGCAAAAATTTCTGATCGTTCGCTTCAGGAACCTCAATTCATGATGTCCCATTAGATTTAAAGAATTTTAATAACTTGACGACTAGTATTCTAAGCAATAACATATTTAATTATCTGTTATAAAATTTATTCGGTTAGACACAATTTTAGAAAATCCAGACGATAAAGCAAGGATCGAGGGAATTAAATACAAGGATGCGTTTGTTAAGTACCAAAGTGTTAATGAAAATACATTATCCAGTCACCAAAAAGCCCACAGTTTAGGCCCACAATTACATACGCACAAAGGAGAGAAGATATCCCTCGAAGATTTCGGAGCAAGCAAGACACAACACTGTATTCTTTTACATTTCACTTACGGTAAATTCACATTTGTTTTTTTTTTCTTTTTTTTTTTTAAACATTCATCGCCTCTATGCAATAGAGACTATGAATTGTTGCTAATGATCGGTCATAGTGGAGGACAGAAGAATATGCAGATTTACAATACAGTCTTAATCAATTCAATATTTGGGTAAAATCAAAGTACTTGTTAACATTATCGCATACAAATACAATTAACTTCTTTTTAATTTTTCTTTTTTACTTTATATTTTGTTTTTGTTTTTAGTTTTATTTGGTTTGGTTTGTTTTTGTTTTTGTTTTTTTTTTTTTTTTTTTTTGGTTTTTCGTTAGTCAGCCAATCGATGTGTTAATGGCATAATACAGAAATAATACGTTAATTCACATTAGTATTAGTCGAAAGATTATGAGAGAGGGCGATGTACTTGCAAGTAAACGGTACAGACCAGAGTCCCTCTTACTCAGCATTTTCCCAATGATTATACTAGCCATTTTAATAAATGTCTGAGTACATATTTGTAAAACAGACTAGCACGTTTAATAGTTATTTTCATGATTTATTTGATGAAATACTTCTATATAGATAATATGGAATATTATTTTTCTTAAATTTTTTTTCTGCGCTGTTTTTTTTTCTTTTGTTCCCCTTAACTATCGTAATTATATAATTACTTAAGGATGTGTTTACTAAAATTTAAATGAATAAATTGTATTGTCATCGCTGACGAATCAGTAACGAGAGACATTTTTCAACAAGAAAAAAAAAATGAACATGATATATTGTAATTCATAAAAATGACAATCATCATAACGTAATAAAATAAAAAAAAATTAGTAATAACAATTACAAATAATAAATAATGATGATGATAATGATGATCATGGTGATGATGATGACAATAATTGCTATTGGTGACGATAATCAAATAAATTGTGAGTTTAAAATTCGAGGTTCTCTAGTGTACACCATATTAAGGTTATGACATCTACTATTAATAAATGATCTATATTAAAAATTATCACCACAAGCTCATTTCTACGAAATGTATTTTAGAATAATGTCTAAGGCCTCGTTGATCGATCGAGAAATCTGGAGACCCTTGAATCATTTACGTAATATTAAAATGAATGATTTAATACTACGTAAAAATAGTGGCACACTTATAAAAAAGAACATTCACGATTCCATCAAAATTATTTTGATGTGTAAATTCTATAAAGCCGAACACACGCGGATTCACTTTCAACATAATAAGTTAATAATTAATTCGCATATCACGTGAGACAGATTTTAAGAAGTTTATTGAAGAGTCCAACGTTTAGGTGAACAAGTCCAAGCTTCTCTTATTAAAAGCTTATTATCGCTATTACGAAGCACTTGAAGTGCCTTATCAACAATTTCCTCGCTAATCTGCTTGGAAAGCTCATATGATTATATCATTGGACTATTTAAGAGACTCTCTTATCAGATTTGGAACGGGACTCGGCCGATTCTCAACGACATATCACCGCGTCCCCGTAAGAAACCATTAATCGAATGGGCGTAAGAAATGGATGGACCATATAAGCCAGCCCAGATTTCTCGACGGCGACGTCAAGGTCGCGCTCAACGGGCACTCAAAGTCCGAGGCGAAGTCACAGAGAGAGAGAGAGAGAGAGAGAGAGAGAGAGAGAGAGTGGTAAGCATTAAACGGGATGTGACGTAGGTGAAGGGTGGGTGGGTTTGGTGGGGTTGACGTAGACGGAGTCGGGCGCTCGCGGACCTCAGAATTCAGATAATAAGTTCGGGCGAATGGCTCTGCTGCCTACCTTCGTCGTCGCTGCTGTAGCTGTTGTACCTCGGCAGGGCGCTGTGGTGGAGCGAGCCCGAGGCCGAGGTCGCGCCGGCCGTGCGCCTCCCGTCGGTGCTCTTGCTGCGCGGGTGATAGGGCCGGTGGTGAGCGTCGTCCCGGCGCCGGGACGAGTGACGCTGGGCCGCTTGCTCGGCGAGGGAGGCCTCGTGGGCGGCGAGCTCGAGGAGGGCCTGTTGCTTGTAGCAGCTGGCGAGGTCGGCGTTGGCCGGTTGGCTCCGCTGCCCTGATCCCGAGGTCGGCTTCCGGGTCAGCGGAGACTGCAGCATGCGCTGCTTCCACTCGAGCAGCCGCTTCATCGACTCCTCGCGCTACGGGCAGACGAAGACCAGATCATTGGGCTGTTAAGCGCTTATCGTCGGCGAGGTAGGGCGAGGTCGCGATCGAGGCCCGGAGCGTGAAAACGAGTGGTTGGTCGCTCAGGAGCGGGACCGTTGCCTCGGTCGAAAGTGTCGGCTTACGAGGAGGAATCGTTGCGTGGAATCGTTGCATAATAACGGACGGCGTGGCACATGGTGGGTGCCAGACGATCGCGAACTCGTTCGATTAGCGGACGTCGTCTCACTTTAGTCTCGGGACCGTTGACTCACCGAGTCGCCGAGGGCGGATGGGTGGGAGAGGCATTGGAGCCAGCTTATCCCGTAGCTCGGATAAGTAATAATGGAGCGGCCTCGGCCGCGGGTATATCATCATCATCCCCCCTCCTCCTCCTCCTCCCAACCCCTACCCCATTCCACCACCACCGACGATTAGAGACGAGAGCTTACGCGTCCGATTAAGCGCCGGATTGAACGGGGCAGGGGAATTGTGGGGGGTGGGGGAGGGGGTGGGGGCAGCGGTGGCGGAGGCGGAAGGAGTTTCAGAAGCAGGTAGGGCAGCGAAAAAAAAGTAAAGTAAAATCGCTCGGCATCGCGATGACTGGCGACGCGGCGCTTACGGAGAAATACCGATGATGAGTCACGTGGAAGGACGCGTACGCCGGGTCAGGGAGCCGGAGATACGAGTTGCGCGAGGTGAAAGCCGCAGCACCGTCGCGTCGTCCCTCGTAACGGGCCCGCTAATGACGCGACGAGGGCCCGTTGCGAGACGGTGCGCTTATCCGCGATTCCGGATATTGAGGTGAATCACGCCGCAGGAGCGTAGCGGGAATCGTTAAATTCTTGCGCTCGTCGTTTATTTCGGCCGCGCCTTCCGTTCTACCTGACCGCCGTCGGCTTACTCCGCGCGACCTCCTTGACAAGCACCCCAAGTACACGGCCAACAGACCCGGATATTATTACGTTTAGAGTTGTCGATTCTTCGGGCGCTCATTTTCACCTGCGGCCTTAGACCACTGGGATTCGCGCGCTCGGTCTCTTCGACAATTCGATCGCCGCCTTTGATCACGAAAAATCGATTGAAAAACCATCGATTTGCTCACGATTTTGCAATCGCGTCGTTGATGCGACGGTGTTGTAAATGTTGACTTATGATGAGGTAATTAAGCCTGTAGAGTGTGGCTTTTCGTTAGAGGATGGCAACGAAGGAGAGGTTAAGACCTTCGTTCTTCAACTCGGAGCGGAAAACATTATCGAGTTTATCTTTCGTGATAAGTGGGAAAAAGTTTTTTGCCAAGCGATTTTGATAAATCTTAAATTAAATTAACGCGCCATTACTCGTCGGCGTGTACTTGCGAGAGAGAAAAAAAAAAGAAAAAAAAAACAACTTGTGTTCCTCGCCTTGAACGGCATCGAAAGGCATATGCACGAGACGAGACAGCACGTACGCAGTGGCTTACGAGAGAGAAAAACGAACGTCGATCGAAAAAGGGGGTGTGTGTGGAATGGAGAGGGAATACACCGAATTATCGCGGAATAATGAACAATAAGGTGAAGCAATTAAAGGGAGGAGGGAAAATTGTAGAAGTTGCTTAAGGAAAGTTTGCTGCTTCGTTGTTGGAAGATTGGATTATCGAAAGCCTCGTGAGCCTCCTACGTAAGCGCCCCCCCCCCTTACCACGCTATTTGGCACTCCTTATCACGGGCCATGGACTCGTTTCTTTTTCTTTTTCCTCTTTGTCAAAGTGTCGCGTCTCGTCGGCAACGTGTCGAGCCTAAGGCCCTTGGCCTCGTCGTATAGAGTGTAGCGCCTGACTCGTAGGACTCACCTGCTGTATGTTGCGCTCACCATCCCTGGAGTCCTGGCCGGAGGATTTCTCGGCGTAGTCGTCGTCCTCGTCGTCGTCCTCGTCGTCGTCGTCGTCGTAGTCGATGATGGCTGCGGGGTGTCGGCTGCGCGGTAGTCTCGCGCTCGCCGATCTCGCGAACTGCTGCTGATGCTCGGGCCAGCGCCGGGGCCCTGACCCGCCGGCCCCGCCACCACCACTACCACCACCGTTGCTGCAGCCGCCGCCGCCTCCGCCGCCGCCTCCGCCGCCACCGCCGCTGCCGCCGATGCTAACGCCACTGGACTGGACCACGTGACCGCGCGGCACCTCGTACTCACGGGGCAACGAGCGCCCTGGCGACTGGTGGAGGGCGGAGGGGAGCGGCGGGCCCCGGGTCTCGCGGAGCGAGCGTCGCAGGTGCGCCGCCTCGTTGCCGCTCAGCCTATCGCATAGCCAGAAAAGCCAGAATTAGCCGACGCGTGAGAGTGACTGTGGCGGTGTCGTCCTGTTTACCAAGCAGGAGGTAATGCGTCCGAGTGGTGAACGGTACCGAAAGCCTAAGGTAACAACTCGTTACGGCCCTGCCTGGCCAATTCGACATTCGATTCGTCCGGTCGGGTAGACGACGCAACTCTGGGCCACCGCTCGAAGCCGCTTTTGACTCGTGCTTACGTTGCACACTTACGGTGACACTTTAAAGCCTCGGAGGAACGTGGTGCAATCATTTTTTGCGGAAAATCGTTAAGACTTCGCGGCTAATGGACCTTGGCTACCGTCCGTTCGTGTCTCGTAATCGATCTTCACGTAAACGCCCCCAACGAATCTATTTCAACTTTTATTATTTATTTTATTTTAACGGCATAATGAGCATGCGAAGTAGTATGGGCTTTATACCTTCGTTTGTAATTTTTTTGCACGATGATGTAGATAAGAGAAAGAGAAGTCTTATTTTAACATCACTCCTTAAAATGACGGTGTGGGACTTGTCATCTGATCTTAATGATCGTATAGGGGATTTGTGTCCGAGGCTATATTATTTAGTGAAGGTCGTAGAAATATTTTAGAATAAATATTAAACAGCTAATTAGCCTAAAAGCTTAGACTTTATAATTATAACAGAATAAATAATTACGTTAAAACATAAATCTTGCAAAGTAGCTGCTATCGCGTCATATTATCACTCTATGTCCCGTTTTGATTTAATCAGATTTTTCCTTCTTTTAAGCAGAGTATAATTAAAAGATTAAATATATAAAATCATAGCAGTTACCTGAATATCTTCAGAACGAATATTGGCCTTTGTAATAATATAATAATAATTATTATAATTATAATAATAATAATAATAATAATAATAATAATAACAACAATAATAATAATAACAATCATAATATACAATCAGAATGAATTGTTAAAAGATAGATAAAAAAATTGATTAAATTTTACAATATTTTATGTACGTATGTAGGTGTATCTCTTTCAGTCTCTCTCTTTGAATATATATATATATATATATATATATATATATATATGTATGTATACATATATACATATATACATATATACATATGTATGTATGTATGTATGTCTGTACGTATGTAAGTATGTACGTATGTAAGTACGTACGTATGTATGTATGTATGTACGTACGTATGTAAGTATGTATGTATGTATGAATGTGGGTGGGGGTGGGGGGGTTTACGGGTAAACGC